GAGGCACAGAAAACAAGAGACTCTCTGCATCAAGATCTGCTAGCCAAGACACATTCCGTTCTGCTTTCAGCCCTTGCGGGCTTTTGGAAGACAGTGCATTGTCATTCCAGCTTCTGGGTTTTTTATCTCAAAAGGACAACACATCAACTCATTAACAGCAGTCTAGGGTTGAAATCTATCTCTGCAAGCCAGACAAATTCAATTGACAATGGATCAATTTCTATTGTCTTGGGTGATGTTATTTCCCACATGGAAGGCACATGACAATTTCTACTTTTCGCTTCCTATTTACCCCGTGGTAGCTGCCTCTGTGCCGTGTTATCCTCATTCCCTTACAAGTGTATAATTGTGGTATAATGAGAATTTTGAATTATATTCTTTTGTACCTGCTTCAGACTCTTGTTTTCGTAGAAAAATCAGACCTGATTGGGTAGGCGAGAGGTGCCGTTTGTCAAATACAAAGAAGTGACATGTTTTGCCAAGTGGAATTTTCTGTTTTGAGGTTTGCTCCTGCTTCATTGCTGATCACTTGGGTTAGTGAGTATCCATCTCTGCTTCCTTCTTCCCTTCAGAGATTGGCACCATGTACCCAGACTTGCTTCATAAGAACAGGGCTCTGTGATTGCCTTTCAGAGACAGTCCAAGATCTAAAACAGCTTTATTTGGAAAATAACTAAGATTCCTCTAAAGCTTTTAGTCCAGTCCAAAGCACTTGGGTAATTAGTTGTATCTTACTGAAAGTAACTGGGAAAATATATAGTGAACATACCATTGATAGAGTCTGATTTAGGTTGGTTTTCTTTGAGAATCTGTTTTTTTTTCTTTTGTTCTGAGATATGCATGATTTAACTTGTTCTTATTCTGCTCTTAATTAGGGAATTACTGAATCTAATAGATCTTCACTTCATAGAATCAGGTAAGCTTCCCAAATTATAGTATTACAGTTGTCTTATTATGATCGTAATTTTGTTTGTTTATGTAGATCATATGTTTTATGTTTATGTATATAAATATATAACATATACCATGCAAAAACAGCATCTATCTTATTGAGCATATTACTTGTTTGTAGTCTCACAAAAATTATTAAAAGAATAAAATGAGCTGGGCGGTGGTGGTGCACACCTTTAATCCTAGCACTAGGGGGGCAGAGACAGGTGGATAGCTGTGAATTCGAGGCCAGTATGGCCTACAAGAGCTAGTTCCAGGACAGGCTCCAAAACTATAGAGAAACCCTGTCTCGAAAAACAACAAAACAAAACAAAACAAATGAATTGCAGAGTGATACTTCTGTTCATTAAATAGCTCTACTAAGAAGAAATATTCATCACAGTATACCACATAGTAGAAGCATCAATATCATTGTAGGGTATGATCAACAAATTTAAATGTGTAGTTTGTTCAGAAAAGCATTATCATTAAAATAGTCTTAATATTTAGAAGGTATAATAGCTTATGGAGATATAATTGGTATTATGCATTCATGAAACAATTTCACAGGCACTGTTACATATACATGTACCCACACAAGTGTGGTTACATAAGAACACCTTCTATTAAAAATGATTATGTTTAACTTTGAGTTTCATCAAGTCTCTTTTATTTCAGAAATAAATTAGGAAGAGGTGGAATGAACAAAATGTGCTTTTGCTGGCAGAAAAAAAAAATCCTAAAATGACAGAGAAAAATATCACTAGAACAACAGTGGTCACCTCAGCTGCTCTGGGCTGCACTGTATTACACTACAAAAGTATTCCATTACTATTAACTTTCTACTTCTGCATTTTCTACATAATTTTTGAGCTCCTATTCAAAGAATTCTACCTGTTTTAAGGAGAAATACTAGCAATATGTATGAATTTTCAAAAAACTATTTAATATTAGCTCTTAACTAGGAATGCATTTATTTTTTTTACAAGATAATAAATTCAATGCAGGACTTTCAGCCTAACATTTTCCTTATTTAAAAAGAAGAAACAAGAAAAAAGAAAGAAAAAAAGAGATAAGAAAAGAAGAAAGAAAAAAGAAAGAAAGGTTCCAGCCTTTGCCGGGCGATGGTGGCGCATGCCTTTAATCCCAGCACTCAGGAGCCAGAGGCAGGAGGATCTCTGTGAGTTCGAGACCAGCCTGGTCTACAAGAGTTAGTTCCAGGACTGGCTCCAAAGCCACAGAGAAACCCTGTCTCAAAAAACAAATAAAACAAAACAAAACAAAAAAAGTAACAGCTTTCAACTTAAAAAAATCGAAAAAACTGTATTAAGTATTAACTTAAATTTCATTCTTTGTATGTATGTATGTATATAGAAAAACATATGTCTTACTTGGCATAACACACAGCTTCTACAAAGCCCCCAAATCCACCTTTTAGCTTGTATACTTTCTACTTTCCTGTCCTTATCATTCCCTGGATCTTGTCCTTTAGGACCTCGTCACTGAAGAATGACCTGCCATTTCAGGTCACTGGTATACTTAAGAAATAGTTCTGGTAATATCTTTGCTCTGTAAATCTCCCATCTGCCTATGTGTCTAGACTTAGACGCTATTTAAAATTTTCAAAGTGTAACCTGTAGCCGGAGCCTAAGAGACACTTAAGGATAATAACATATGTATATGGAGTATTACTTAACTGTTAAAAAAATAACATCATGAAATTTGTAGGCAATGGATGGAAGTAGAAAAAAATCAATAGGCAGGGTGACTAGTACAGGAGAATTTTGGAAAGAAGAAAGGCTCAGTCTGCAGACAGAGGAAGCATGATGAAAATGCCTTGCTGATAAAAGGTACCAAGCCACGTGGCTAACACAGACAAGAATTATGGGTTAATAAGAAAGCCTGAGCTAATAGGCCAACCAGTTTATAATTTAAAAAAAAGCATTAACTTAAAATAATTGTTTTCAGTATATAAAACTTTCCCCTGTAGCATTCCACCCCCATTAATTAAATAGATGTTTTGGACTTGCATAGCTGCTACCATATGGAAATATGCTTGAATTCATTCTTCTGTGATTAATACTAGGGGATCACATTCATAAATATATTTCCTAAGCTAACAATTTTTCTAAACTAAAATGCTTTCCTGGAGAACAAGTATAACTTATCAGTAGAAAATTTAAATGAAATAATTAACTACTTTGTTGTTATTTCTTCAATCTGTGACATTACCTCAGGTATAGGTATGATCTTGCATTTATAAAAGGTGAAAATTGGGGATGTTTTTCTCAAGATGGTCTATTAAATAAAAGGGTCAGCAATTAAAAGACAAATACAAACAAAATAAACAAATAAAGCATGTATTAGTAGTAAATGAATAAATAAAATATACAAAGGGAATGCTACAAAAATTATTTTTAATTTATCAACTGCATATTCTGTGTTATAACTACAGTTATAACAATTTTTTTTTATTTTTTTCCAGTATAGAAATGTTCTTTTTAGATCTTAAATGTAGTCCTCTAACTACTTTGGTTATGAAAGCAATAACAGACTTCTTGCTGACTGCTTTTATCTTGCATAATTAGTAGCATAATAAAGACAGAAATTATTAACACTTATCTTTATTTGCCACTAATGAAATAGATATTTGAATTGGAGTCATTCTGGCATTGCAATACATTGCTAAGTTAACCTATGCTTATTCTCACTTCCTTCGAGATAATTTTACTTGGTAAACGCATAATAGCTGGTAACAGCTGAAAATATGTTCACTGTTGTGGGATATTTTGATCACATTTGGACACTCCCAAGACTACGAATAGAGCTAAACCTTGAACCAGAGGGCATAATCAACATTCATCTGGCAAGAATTAGCTTTAGAGTTTTGGGCAGAACCAAATTAGGATAGAGAGAGACACAGGCAGGAATATGGAGGGACTTAGAGTCACAGTCCTTTAAATCTGGGAAGGGGGAAATGTACATTCAGCTGATCCTTTTCTGTTACTCTGTGGATATTTTAGATTTATACTTCAATATCTGACTCCCGAGTTGTATCTAATAATATAACAATAAAGGTAATTGCTTTACCAAACCTTTGCTTTTTATAAAAATACACTCACAAATATTTTCTGTGTTTGGACATTGGGAAAGATACATTTCCTAGGGCAATAATAGATATTTATGTGTTGTGTATATGTTTTTTATTATAAATTACTTCAAGGATATATATATTATTTGAAAAACATAAATGTGTCATACATACACATATATACATACACACACATATAGTATTTAAAAGACAGGAAAAATATTTCAAATAAAACCATAAAATTTGAAAAATGACAAATCAATGGTTTAGAAAAGATTTACTTTTCCAGAAAAAAAAATTCTAAATCCTATAAACATAATCAATAAAACAATGTCTTTACTTGTTTTTTTTTCTTTAGAATTTAGAAAAATCATATGCAAATCTAGAGTAGGAAACTTCTTTGGTTGATATATGCAGATACTGTGTTTTATAATAAGTTTGCCAAGTGTTCAAATATTTTATTTACAATTCATTTTCCTATATGTAATTTTCATATTTTTAAAAATTTTAATGTGTATTTTCCTAGGCTATCATAAGCTATAAAAGAGACAGAGATATTTGCGTTCGATAATCCAGCCAATCAGGCAAATTATTATTGACAGTACCTGCCCATTGCTCTACCCATAGCCTCTTGTCTATGTACCTGGCCATTGAGAATATGTTTGTTGAGTCACAAAATTACTTTAACCTTTACACTCTCTATGACATGAGGAGGAAAATGTATCTTGCAACGCCGGCAAATCGCGTTTTTTTTTTTGTTTGTTATGAAAACGGAGCAGAAAATCTCGTAAGCATTTGGATAGCAACAAAAAACGAGTAGACTTTTCATAACCAGAAATATTGGACTCAAAGCAAAGAAAAGAAAATATTTTCCATCAATAATGAATAATTCTGAGTTCATTTTGCAAAAATTCTAATTAAACATCCAAAGGTGTCTTTAAACTTACTGGTAAGGATAAAACTGAATTGTGCAACTTACTTCTGGAGCCTGAAGAGTTCCTCACTACCATGAAGGAGTCAGCACTCGGCCTGGCTACTGCAGAAGACGAACAAGGTGAACGCATCTCCAAAGCTGGTGCTGAGAATGGTGTCAGGGGGAAGGGTGGTCAGCTGCTACATCTCTCCTCAACAACTGGCTGAATGGATACAGGGACTCTTCAGAGGAGGCAAGCAGAACAAAGAAAATGCATCAAAAAAGCTTTTAGAGTACCTGGAAATGTTTGCTGTTAATTGTGTGTTCAATCACGACTCATATTAGGACGTTCACTAATTAGAACTCAAATATACTTGCATAAAAATGCTTTCCAATGGAAATGTGCAATATGTTCTCATTCCAATAAATATGGCAACACTATGCCTTTAATTTTTGGAAGGCGAATCATTCTCTCAAAACTGTAGGTAGCTTAAATGATCATATCCCACACACTATTCTTTATCTTTGAATTAATTCATTTTGGTGTATAACTCACACATCTTTAATAATGTCCTGCTATGTACCACGTAAACACATAATATAACATTAGATATAGCAAGGAACAAATCTATCATGGCCCTATCTGGTCATAGAGAACAACAGACTTAATTGTTAACTGCATTATTTTCCAGGCCAAAATCAATATATTGCAGTACATTCATATCTGGAAAAAAAACTTACATAAAAACATCTCATATGCATTGCATTTTTTAAGTTCATATTTGTATTTTTAAGTGTCTTTTGTGTGATGAGGTCTTAACCTTTCAGAGGATTGCCTGTCACCCTCTGTGGGATGCAACATTTAAATTTTTCTTGCCTAAGAGCTGTAGAAAAGTTCCAGCTAGCCCTGCTGTGGTAATGCACGCCTTTAATCCCAGCACTCAAGAGGCATAAACAGGAGGATCTCTGTAAGTTTGAGGCCAGCCTGGTGTACAGAGTTCCATGACAGTCAGAGCTACACAAATAAATCCTGTCTTAAAAAAAAAAACAAAATAAAAATAAATAAAGTTTCACCTAATATTTAAATCTAAGACTGTTAAAGTAGACCAATTAATTTTTAAAATATCTTTAAATTTTTAATTTGACTTAGACTTTGATAAATATCAAAGTAGCATAAACACAGATTATTTTCAAACTATAATAATAAATAGTGAATATAAGATGAAAATATGATTTAAATTCACTTATATGATATTTATATAAAATCAATATTAAAGCTTTGATAAATGGAACAATTTTTTAGTTTTCTGTTTTGAGTTTGTTTTAGTCAGGACCCTGACTGGCTGAAAAACCTTGATTCTCCCACTTCAGCCTCCATGGTATTAGAATTATAAACAAGTCTTACCATGCCTAAGTATAAATATAAACTTAAAAGAGTGATTTCATTGTTCTTCTTTGACTGCTTTATAAAGTAACTACTGAATTTACTTGGTCAAGGTCACATGGTAAGTAACTAATAAATCATGACTTTTCCCTAAGACCAACTTCCTCCACAAATACTACGGGACAATGGCCTTCTATCCTGTACAGATTTGTCACTTGTATTGGTTTAATAAAACACTGATTGGTCGGTACCAAGGCAGGAAGTATAGGCAGGGTGACCAAAAGAGGAGAATTCTTGGGAAGAGGAAAACCTCAGTCTGCAGTCATCACCCAGACACTGCAGAAGCAAGATGAGAATGCCTCACTGATATCAGGTACAAAGCCATGTGGCTAACACAGATAATAATTATGGGTTAGTTTAAGATGTAAGAGTTAGCTGAAAAAATGACTAAGCTATTGGCCAAACAGTGTTGTAATTAATATAGTTTCTATGTTATTATTTGGGTCTGGGCTACTGGGAAATGATCAGTCTCTGCTTACACACAAGATGCCTTACATAACATGATGTAAAGAAAGATTCTGTTAAACTGTTAAAGGATTGTGTTTTAGTTTGGATGAACACTCTACAGAGCTCCATATTTTAGTTTCAGTGAACAGTTTTGTGCTCCTGGAAACTGCCATGGACCATCTGGAGATGGGTACTGGAATGAGTTCACACATTTGTTGGGGTATACCAATGACATCTACACTGCAACTCTCTTCCCTTCTTTCCTTACCTCCTAGAAATTTACATATTTTTCACATATATCTTCCAATGGCATCATTGATCTAAAACAACGGTATTACCCAATTTAATACTTAAACATAAAGAACATCATTTATTATTACCCAATTTAATACTTAAACCTAAAAAACATCATTTATTATGTTTATTTTGTCTTTATGTGCAAGGGTGTGTGACTACATATTTTTATGTGCACACTGTATGTGCATTTGACTATACAGGAAGGAGGTCTCAGATCCCTTGGACATAGAATTATGGGAAGTTATTAACCATATGATGTGGGTTCCAGGTCCACTAGAAGAGCAGTAAATATTCTTCCCCGTTGGGTCATCTTCTCACCTCCAAATTGTGATTTTTACGGACATTATCTATAGTATTGTTAGTAACTTAAAGTATTTCTCTGTCATAATACAAAATTCACATAGATTCTACTGCAACATTAACATATACAAATAAATGCAGTAGTGAAAAGAAGTAATTGAGTTTGTGAGTATGAAACTGTCACATTACTATATTATCATGTAACGTTTTCCTTTATTCTTCGAGTGTATATTGAAATTAAATATTTTGTAATGAATTCTGATCACTTAGTTTTTATTCCACTCTGCTGGAGCTGCGATCATTTGACAGTCTTACAAAATTTGGCACCTATTATATTAATGTGTCCTCAAGAAACATGGTTCCCCATCTAATAATCATTTTCAATAACAATAAAATCTGGAAGAACTCAGAAAACTTGTGAAATGCATTAGAAGTTATTAGGATACATATTTCTAAAGTGAACATCCTTAAATACATTATGAGTCTAAAATGCCATCACTAAATGATCATTAGATCCCCAAAACTACAGACTGACTTGAGTCTAGTATTAGTGACAACGGGGTCTAAATCCTGATTTAACCTAAAATAATGGGTAAAACTACATTAGTCACTATTCATTTATACTTATTTTTAATTTTTTATTTAATAAAAATTTATTTACATCACTCCATTTCCTTTGCATATTCACAGTCTCCTTTTAATCATTGCTGTTATACATACATACAAATGATTTATTATTTCAAAGTATTATGGTTATGAAACTGTGCCTTTCAGAGCTCATAATATTTTTTTTCTTAAGACTATATATCTTTAACACATTAGCAAACAAGAAGCCCATTGGAATCTATAAGGACAACAATGACATTCTCTTTACTATACACTTCCTTTAAAGTCATCAAATCTGAACATTCATGAGCTCAGCACACTGGACATTCATATTATAATTGACATGAAGCTGATTTGCCTATGCCAGTAGCAATGGTAAGCTTATTCCTGTTAATTAAAAAGTGAGCATTTGCTTATCTGGATGTTTAATCTTCATGCTGCACAAATTTTTTTGATTTTTCAAGACAGGGTTTCTCTGTGGCTTTGGAGCCTGTCCTGGAACTAGCTCTGAAGACCAGGCTGGTCTCGAATTCACAGAGATCCGCCTGCCTCTGCCTCCCGAGTGCTGGGATTAAAGGCGTGCACCACTATCGCCCGGCTACAAAGCCATTTTTGTAAACCTGTGAGCAATGGAATCACATCCTCTCACTGTCTTTCAACTGCTTACCTAAAAGATTATGGACGTACAATCTTCATATAGCCATTATCTTTAGTGGACTATTCAAATTCAAGAGTTGGTAGTACCAAAAGTATATTCAGATATAATGCCCTATGTTTATAATCCCAGAACTTGAAGAGAAGGTAAAATAAAATAAAATATGTGTTTATAACCAGCCTTCACTAAATAGACTTAGTTCAGCCATCAGCACAGCTAATTTGTGTGTCAGAAAAGAGAAAGGAAGATAATCTAAAATAATTCAAACAAGAGACAAAATTACTTTGAAAATTCTTTTATGTGAATCAGTCTTTCCAGCCAAAAATGATCATCAAGATTTTCATAAACACTATTATTAAAACATACATTCTCAGCAAGAACACTGCTAAACCTAGGTGCTTTTAAAATTAAATTAGAGACACTGATTAAAAATGGAAATAATCTTGTGTCAGTGAATAAAAACAGCACAAAATATTTGCTGCAGGAAAATGTTTAAAAATAATAGCCCACATCCAAGATCCAATGACGAATAAATTAGTGCTCTGCTGGAGCAGTCACTGATGTAAATGTCACATGAAAATTAGCACAACTCATCATCCCTTCCCTCTATCAGCAAGAGTTCAGCAGTTCAATAAGACATAAATCTTGATGACCTAAAAATTGTATTGCTGTACTTGTAATTTCCTGTGAACAAGTCTCGTAGTAACTTAGCAATGCTGTTGCTTAGTAACCCACTAGCCAAGGTGAAGGACTTTGCAGTCAGACAACAGCAAGAGTTGATAGATCTGCATTGGTTTCACAGTTAAATCATTCACTAAATTTCATGCTAGTCCTCAAATAATGAATGCTAGACACAAAAAGGCATTAAATTCACCATTAGCTTAGCGAAGCAATAAAATCTGTCGCCAAAATTGGACTTTAACTAGAAAAACTCTATGCTCTGGATTTGCAAATGCTACATTAACAAAAAGAGAGAGAGAGAGAGAAAGAGAGAGAGAGAGAGAGAGAGAGAGAGAGAGAGAGAGAGAGAGAGAAAAGAAAAGAAAAGAAAAGAAAAGAAAAGAAAAGAAAAGAAAAGAAAGAAAAGATTTTTTGCCTCTTAGTGCAAAGGAAGTGTGAGCCCAAATTTGAAATCCCTGTTTCTCCACTTGTGTCTTCCATCTGTCTCTAATAAAAGGCTTTGCCCTATATTTATTGGCACCCCCCCCACACACACACACTCATGCAACACAGCTTTGGTAAAGGAACGTAATAAAAATATTATCTTAATTGATACTTTAAATAGATTACAAGGGTACAACTTCATTGACATGTAAGCATTTTGGGAGCCAGGGTCCACAGGAGAAGAGCTATACACATTGCAGCATTCCACACATTGATTTACTACAAACAACAAAAATTTGAGAAATGCAAATTTTAAGGCTATAGGCGCCAATAGAGGAAAAAGCGTATATTAAAACATTCTGGAAGGAAATATCTTTAAAAGCAAGGGT